CCAGACTGAAATTTCTGTTCATAAAATTCTCAAGAAGATTTTCATTAAAGTAGAGTAAGAGTGGCACAATGGCCAGAAGTAGAATCCATAGCCAGGTATGACAAGAACCAGAAACATGCTATTATGTTGAATCATTGTTCTCTGCACGGTTTTGCTGAATAAAACTATGACTGGTTTCACCAGGGACATCAAAGTGCCTTTAATGTTTCCAGGAGCTGAGCAAGACTGAGAACAGTTAAGGGTACATGCCTGGCTCAACAGTGTGTTCTGCAGAGTGCTGGCAGCCAGTAGCCCTTCAGCTGACAGTTGGGAAGACAAGAAAGTGTCAGACAGTGCTATAGGGCTGAAGGGGAAAAAAAAAGGAATCCCATTATCTGCACAGAGTCCCAGGACACCTACCTCTTCACAAGGATGTAACTCACTAGTTGTCCAACAGCATGAAGTGTACATTCCTCCAACCACCTGACCAGCTGCAAATGCCTGTCCTGTGCAGGCTGAGGAGGGGAGAGCCATGAGAAGGGGCTGGAAGGGAACAGGAAGAATGGCAGAAGTGGGAACAGGGTCATCAACAATAGTGAGGCTTTCCAAACAAAGAGGTGCTTTCCTGGGAACCTGGTGTGGGAGTTGTGCACCACAGCAACAATTACAGTATGAGTATTGTAGATGACACTTATTAGACCAATGAACTATTTTATTTTTTTACATTGTGAAAATATACTCCTCTACTGCTGGACCTAAGGGTGAGCTTAGGAAATGACTGAGTTTATGTACGCACCACTCACCAGAACTCTGGGGGCTTGTATGCCAGGCAGCAGTTACTGTGCTTGAAATGATTTGCAAATCTTTGCATACCACTTAGAGAGGAACAAGCTGAACAAGTATGTCCCGAAAAGGATAGAGGCTTTAAACAGCAGCTAATATTTTTTTTATTAAAATTAAGTATCATGCTATAGTTCTCTTTTATATTGCAACTACCCAGACTTGCCATGTGTAATTTCTTTGCCATTTCATCTGCTGCAGTTTCACACAAGAGTCAGAAATCACATCCTCTCAGTTCTAGCCTCAGTCTGTGCACTGAGCAGCTCCTGCCAGACCAGTGACAAGGTGCACACTCCCAAATTCCCAAGCAGCTCTGTCAAGCACCACCCAACCTGGGACTGGCAAGTGCTTAAGGGCAGAGACTCTTCCTTGCCCTGGAAGAAACTCCTCCCTGCAGAGAAGTCCAACAAAATACGGGTATCTCGGGTCATCAAACAGCACATGTGACGTTACCAACCTGACCAAGACATTAAACCAACCAGCATGCACTGAAACGTTTCCACTGCTTTCCTTGTCACTTGACTTCAGTCATTCCCATCTCTGTAAGGTGTTTGGAGGGCTATGAATAAAAACAACTGCATATTAACCAACACTGTGCCCTCCAACATGGGGACATGAGGATTAGCAGCAGAAATACTTTCCTGAAAGCATGTCCTTCTCGTGTAATGCCTCCAGCGTTGGGAACAGTCCTTAAGAAGCCTGAAAACAGGCTTCCTGCAGGGGCTTGATTCTTCTAGCAAACCTCCTGGTCTTGTTCCCTATGTCCTGAACTTAGTGGCAATTCAGATTTAAATAATGAAAGCAAAGTATTAAGCTTGAACTAACTAAAACAAACTCCTTACAGTAGAAAGCACAACAGATTCATCACAGCATCATCAATGATGGGGCAAACACAACCAGAAATGACACAGAATGGAAGGCACAAAGAGGATCAAAAATTAAGTTGTCTACTATTTAGAAGTTCAAAATAAAGCTTTTGTTTCCTGACTAGCTCTCGTTATTAAGAATACAACTATAAGCAGGATATCTTAATAAAGAGGTAAATAAATCAGAGAAATTAACACAACTGACAGTGCACCTGTCAAAATACAACAGGTGAAGAAAAGAGTGCCTTTCTTTGAAAAGGAAGTGCTCTTATTTATATAGAGTTCTTAATTATAAAATATATTTAAGCAGAACAGTCAAGTTTGTTCTCTATACAGATCCTTCAGAATCCCTCCAAAGACCAGTAAGTGCTACTGACACAAAAGGTAAATACAAAACACTTCTTGTAATGCCCCCACAGGGGACACCACCTGACAGAGCAGGACATGGAACAGATCACTTGCCAGGATTTCCTGCTCCACAAGATCCATCCTACAGCAGAAGAGGAGCTTGCACCTGCTTTACATATAGTAAACCCATGGTACTGAGCTTATCAAAACTAGACCTCCCAAATTCTTGCTAGGGCCTCTTTTTACCCCTGAAAGTTTTCCCCAGGCAGTACCTGGAAGTTCCTTTCCACCAAAGCCTGCCTTGTGCCAGGCCGTTGGGCATTCCCACACCTCCCTGCAGCAGCAGTGCCAGGACCCTTTAGCAGAGCTGTCCCATCCACAGCAATGACTGTAGAGCTGCCTGATTTATGCCACAGAGGGGATCTCCTATAGCTCCCTCCTGCACCAAGCACATCATCCCTCCCTGAATGTTAAATAACATTCAGCTTCATGGAAAGTAATGGTCATAGCAGCCCCAAGAATCAGATCCCACAACTTTGCACTGGCTACTGGTTTTCTTCAGAAACAGAAAGGCCAAAGATTAGAATTCTGAAGGTTTTACTAATACTCTTTCTGTAGGAAGCATGTATCAGCCGTTGGTATGTTAGATGCACTGTGCTATTTTTGGCCTTGAAAGCAAGAATAATTATTTGACACAGGGACAGCTTTAACTCAAGCCCTGTTGATCACTGACATTCCTATGGATATTCCCTGCTCCCAGCCTGGGGAGTGGAAGTGTGCTGCACAGGATACAAAAGCACAACTAGCTGTTTGCAAACCCCACACCTACCTTCAATATCCAAAACTATGTTGCTGCTGTTGTGCAGGATAACACCGACAGCCATGTGGAAAGGACACTATGAAAAGATGACCTATTAACAATATAAACATTCTTTGAGTATCACTTTTCACATGAAGTGTGAATTTTAGGGTACAATTTAGCTACTCTGGTTATGCATGGAGCTCAAGTGTACTCAGAACATGAGGGGGGGGGGGAACAGAAATAGCTGGGTTTTTTTCCTGAGGGGAATGACCCAAGAAAAAATTCAAACAGACTCCAGAATGATCAGTGGATTTACAAATGGGAAAGCCACACAGACTACTCTGTCTAATTGAACAACAGAACCAAGAGCAAAAGATTGCAAATTTTCTGCTGCCAAAAGATGGGATTGTTGGTACAATTTTACCCTGGTTGAACCTGTTTTTATGGTATGCCTTTGGGATCACCATAATGTGGGACTAACATTTAAATTCAAAATAGATGTTACTGAAACCAAAACAACTAGATCTGCCCCAATCAATGAGGATGAGAAAATTTTGTCTCCTCAAATTTTTGAAATTGGACCATATATGATCAAAAATGCAGATCAGCAACAAGTGTTATTTCATCCATTTTGGTTTCTTGAACAGGTGGAATTAGTAATGCAGATTAGTACTTCTGCACTTAAGCCAATGTGCTCACCATTCCCAAGTGCTCCCTGTGCAGGATGGTTCACTTGGTTACATGGGCAAACCCTCACTTCTCCGAGAGGAACAAGAGACACAACTTGTTCTCCTAATACTGGTAAGTTTTGTCTTAACTGTAGCACTGTATATTCACACTTGGGAAATCATGAAGCAGTTGACTTACCTTATCATCCCTGTGATTCATTTCAGGAAACATGAGATGGCTGCAAAGCGAGACTTACAATATGTATAAGAAGAATCGTAAGTCTGAAAGTAGAGAATTGATAAATAGCAGGAGCAAAGTTCCAAATAACAAGATAAAGAACAAAGCAGTTAAGCAATGGAAGCAACAGCCACAGGAATGCAGAAAACAGAAAACTGACAGCCTAGGTCCTTGAAAGGGGGAAAACAAGATAACACTCTTCTTATCCAGGATATTACATATCCAGGTTTGACTGGTTCTGTGGTGAGAACTTGCCCCAGCCACTGACTTTGTTTGTTAAGTCATCGTTGTAATAGTAAAAGCCACACCCCTGGCTCAGCCCCTCTGCCCACCAAGAGCCCACTGCCCACCGAGCACGTGCCACGATGTCTTGGGACACTACACCTTGCAACTGAAATGAAGAAAGGGGAAGCCAACAGCAACTTAAACCATGCAGTGAAGATCTGCTGCTGGCCTGAGACTGTACCCATAGGTGTGCCTGGCTTTGTGTGCCTCTGTGCCACAATCAGGATCACCACACAGCAGGACAGTATCACCCTGTGGCCAGAGCAGGACTCTCTCTATCATTGCTGCTGTCAGTGTGAGCAGGACATGGCTCAGGGAACTGACTGGACTGGGATTTACACTTGCTCCTCCCCATTATTAAGCTTGACACCCCCAGGACCCCACTGCTACCAGTCCAAGCTCAGACTCATACCCCATCCTACCAACGCTAACTCCACACTCAAATCATGGCCTTCTGTGCACCTTGGCTCCTCCCTGCTACCTGCCCTCCTATCCAAAGGGTTCAGCTCCGAGTCAGGTACTTCCTTCCCTCATCTGCCCCAGCCCCAAACAGGTTCAAACAGACTGTGCCCACTCAGTTCTGCCTGCTTGCTGGATCCCTGAAGAGAAGCTGAATTTCCTTACAGAAAGGAATGCAAGCAAGAAATATTTCTTTCCACTGCATGGAAATCTTTCCCAGGACTTTCTGAATGACTTATCATGCAGTAAAAGCCTAAGGCATGCATTCAGCACACCCTGTGCCTTTCAGTCACGACCTGCTTTCTTAGTATCATGTTCACTTCAGCTTTGCTATCATTAAATTAAAAAAAAAAAAAAAACAAACAAAAACCATCAGGGCTGACAGTTTCCATTCCTTCAGTCAAAACTCACACGGTAAGAGAAGCTGTTAAGACTTTTTGGCATTGAGCAATTACTACACACTAGAAACACCAGGTTAGACAGAAGCCGTGATATTGTAATAAATCCTGAGTACATTTAGTAATTCTTCTAGTGTTTTATTGTAAGTAACAGAAACATAGCAAGATACAAGGCACACAGCTTTTGAGCATTTCAGCACGGTGTGCTAAGTGCTATATAAAATAGGAACTCACTTTGAAGTAAACGAATATTTTAACGAGTATCTTAACATTTCCGTGGCTGTTGAATAATGTAAATTCTTTTAGGCAGTATGAACTTCTCCAAGGTAGGCTGTGGCTTTTGGTGAGCCACTTGTAATGCTGCTGCATGAATTTTGTGGCTCATCTGTAACATTAAACAAGGGAGAAAAAGGTTGTGATAGAATAGTTTTTCAGTTATTCTCTTCCTAAACTTCATCATACAGTTCAAAACCAGCAGTAAAACTTAAATCCACAGAAACTTCAAGTGATCAATACATAAAACTCACTGTGACTCAGTACACTTAGTTATATTTCTGTTTTCAAAGTGATATTAGTCTGCCTATCTTCAGTGAACTTTTTTTTTCCCTTTCTTAGCAGTTCATAACATGAGCTGCCGAGATAAGGAAAGCACAGCAAATAATCAACATGCCAGAGTTACAGTGAGTTGATTCAAGTTCTCATTTTCCCAGATTCAAAATCATCATCATTACAGTGTCTAATTATAACTTTCTAAACTACTGAGGAAGCTTCACGTATGAGATTCTGGAAACCAGCAGGAGAAGGAAATGGAAGGCCAGAACAGAGGGGATGGGGACAAGGGGAAAAGAAACAGATCAGTTGAATCTGTTCTTCTTAAATAATTCTAAGCCAAAAATTCAGATTTACAGACTAAAGCCATAAACACATCTGCTGATGAAAGGCTCCTGTTGAAACAATGCAACTGATGTTTCACTGAGCTCAAGGGATGAGGAACTCTTGGATACTTCAGAATCTGAAGACTGCAAGTGTATAACAAGGAGATGGTAATGCCAGATCTTCAGATCCCATGCAAAGCAGAGAGCTGCTTGTGAAATGGGCTCTGGCAAAGCACAGGTGTGAGTCTGCACCACCAGCAGAATGAGAGCAGGGCCTTTTTAGACACCGAGCACCCCAGCCACACAGCCACTGCACGAACAGATTATTTCAACAACATTTAGTGGCAGATGACAAACCTACAACTACCAGATGACAGAGTTTAAGGATAATTCACTTTTTGTAATGTTTAGCTTTATGGAGAACCCCTGACTTGTTCTTCAGACTTACTTACTTTGCTCAGTGCTTCTGCTACCAAGACACCCATGTTCTGAGGTTTTGAAAGACTGACAATAGCACTGTAAAGCAGAAAAAAAAAGTATTTAGCATTTCCATCTCACAGAAACACTTGTCACTTCGATTTTCAGACTAAATACAAAATATTTTGCAATAGAAATGTAGGTCTTGGAGCTAAAGCCTTTAATCACATTAAAGACCATATAATATCCAAAAAGGGCATGCTTTTCAGAATTGAACACCACAAAATCTGTGTTGCAGGCTGTTTTATTTGAAAATCTGTACGTGAAATATCATCAAATATTTCAAAAAGGATTTTTTTGTACACTGTGGAGTAGCTTCACAGAAGATGAGCACTAATCCTGAACTACAAAAGCCAATTTTGTAATTTTCTTGATTCCAACCAAGACCCATGAAAAAAATTCACCCTCTGCTTT